GCAGCTTTCTGAAGCTCAGGTCCCATGCCAAACCCAGACCTGGAAACCTGACACTGGCTGGATTGCCACAAGGTCTGAGGAAGGGAGGTGCTCTCAGAAAGCTTAGTGGGCACTAGCTTCTCCCAGCTTTTCTTCACCACCTGGAGACTGGATCATCCTTAGAAAGAGATGTGACAGAGACTGCACAGATACAAAATTTACATCACTAACTTATTTGAGCCCAGGGAAAGGGCAGCTTTACTGAGCAGCATGCAAGCGGGTGAGGCCACCAGCTCAAGAACATGAGCATCATTTATTAACCTTCTGAAGAAAGAGCCCAGGGTTCCTAGAAGCCTGCCCTGCACACTGCGCTAGCTCTGCAGTTGAGCTGTAGGTACCTCTCCACCTCTTCCTGTAAGGCCCCAGCTGTTCCATCCCTTCCGGCACACTACTCCAATGTCCCCCAGGCTCTGAATCCACACAGCCCTGCACCACCCGCTCTCTAGATAATCAGAAGTCACTCAGCCATGCAGCCAAGAGCATTTACTGAGAGCCCAAGATGTGTTGGACACCAGAACAGGAGACTCTTAGAAAATCCACCTCCATAGGGCTTGAGGGTAAAAGGTGAGGAAAAGACACCAATCAAGATTAGAGGGGTGAGAATGACTCACTACCCAAGGAAAACCAACAGCAAGACACCATCCAGGGTCCCTCAGCCCCCAGCATGATGAAGACAGAGCTTATCTCTCCATGTATTTGTAAAGCAGGGCCTGGAGGACAATGCTGCCCATCCCTTCTCAGAGCAGGACTCTGAGGCTCAAGATTCAGCAAAGATTATTCCATGTGCAGGGAATCCTGTCTGTGACAGCCTTGGGGACTGTAGATCCCATCCCCAATCACCCCTTCATAGATCTTCCCTCTCGACTTTATCTGCTGCTCCCAGACACCCCATATTCTAGCCTTTTCTTTCAGAGGAGATCATTGGAGGCCACGAGGTCAGTCCCCACTCGCGCCCCTACATGGCACATGTTACATTTCTGAGAGATAATGGGAAGAAAAAGTTCTGTGGAGGCTTCCTGGTTCGAGATGACTTCGTGCTGACAGCTGCTCACTGCAGGGGAAGGTGAGGCAGATCTCGCCCACATTTTCTGTGACGCCCACAGGATCTTCTGTCCTTCATTGTGGAGGCTCCCCTGAGAGCTCACTAGAAGGCAGGGCTGTGAAAATGGAAGTCTGAGAAGAGAGAAATTTGAGGTGAAAGGGTGAGAGGGCAGAGCCAGTAGCACCCTTGAGCTGATCACCTGCACTGGCCAAACTAAAGCAGTGGTTGACATGACAGTTCACATTAAGAGTCAATGCAAAACTTGGAATTTTGCCTAGAAGCAAGAAGGAGCCTCCAGGAGTCTCATGTTCTTGAGAAGCAGAGAGCAGTAGGTCAGACACCGAGGCCCTCCTGGGTCCTCAAGTCCCCTCAGCTAGAGCCTCACATCTCTCATGTTCACTCTGCTCTCTGCACAGCTCAATGACAGTCATGCTGGGGGCCCACAACATCAAAGAACAGGAGAAGACCCAGCAGGTCATTCCTGTGAAAGAATCCATTCCCCACCCGGACTATAATCCTAAAGGCCGCTCCAATGACATCATGCTGTTAAAGGTGAGCCCTGCCACCCTTCTATACACACAGCTTCACCCACCAAATCCCATCCCTGGTGCCTTGCTGTGATTGGAGCAGGACTTGCCCCTCCCACCCTGTTGTGCTCCTGCTTCCTCTCTCCCTTCCATCCTGGATTTCAGGGTGACCCAGAGCAGCAGCTTCTTCCCTCCCTTCCATTCTGGCTTCAGTGTGACCCGGAGCATCAGGCTGCTAACTGTGCTGTGCTCTCCCGCTTCTTCCTAACAGCTGATGAGTAAGGCCAAGAGGACTAGAGCTGTGAAGCCACTCAACCTGCCCAGGCGAAATGTCCTTGTGAAGCCCCAGGATATGTGCTATGTGGCTGGCTGGGGAAAGGTCACTGCAGAGGGGGAATTCCCAACCACACTGCAAGAGGTCCAGCTGACCATACAGAAGGATCAGGTGTGTGAGTCCCAGTTTGGAGGTTCTTACGACAAAGCCAATGAGATATGTGTGGGGGACCCAAAGATCAACGGTGCTTTTGTTGAGGTAAGTTGGATTGCTCTCCACTCTGGGTTCAGTGGGAAGGGAAATGAAATCTGACTTAGGGACCCAAACACCAAGGGACTTTTTGCCTACTGGTTGTGAAAGTTCTCCCAGGAAACAGCATGAATCAGGAACTGACTAGGGCAGCCTGAGCTGACAAGGAGCCTTTGTTGAAGGCAGGTTGTATAAAAAAAGTGTGTTTGAAACACAAAGCCTTCCAGGCGCTGACTTCCAGGCCCACACTCCCTGAGTGTGTCCTAGCCACAACCAGGTGAGGAGGGTCCCACATACCTTCATGGAGAGTGGATCACAGACCTGGGGGAAGGGCAGAGGCTGGCCTCAGGAGGGAGGTGAAGCAGTAACTATGTCCATGGTCAGAGCTGGGAAGCCCAGGGGCCCCAGGCCTGCCCTCTGACTTCCTCCCAGAAAGAGAACACACAAGTCATTCTTTTCTGAGATGAGCCTTGACATGAGTGGGAGGTTGGGACTAAGTTGAACAACAGCTCAGTTCCCTGTGTCCCCCTCAATTCACAGGAGGATTCCGGAGGTCCTCTAGTGTGTAAAAAAGCTGCTGCAGGCATCCTCTCCAATGGGAAAAAAGATGGTTCAGCTCCACAGGTCTTCACCAGAGTCTCAAGTTTCCTATCCTGGATAAAGAAGACGATGAAACGCAGCTAACTACAAGAAGCAAACTGGTTCCCTTTCTGACTAGCCAGCCATCTTCCCTACAGCTGAGTCCTGGATTGCTCTAGGACAGATGCCAGCAACTTAATAAATGTCTTTGCAGATAAAAAGACTTGACTTGTTTCATGTCCATTCACAGGGGCCAGCGCTATCTCTGAAACATATCTCTGAAACTCAGGCAAGGTCATTGCCCAGCACAGTTTTGCTTGTCCCATTCTCTCTAGTGGCTGCTGTTCTAACAGACCTAAAGCTGAGCACCATCAGGAGAAATGTAGGGTGTCTCTTGCTTGGGGTTCAGGGTAAACTGCCACCTCCTCTGTGCCATATGACAGAGAAGGAAGGAAAAGCACCTTTGTTCTGGAGACACAGAACACTTGCTGACATCACATGGAGATGGTCCTTCCTGGGCAGGCTCTCTCTCTCCCAAGGCTTCACCAAGGCTTCCCTTAAGGGGACAGCTCTTTCAGTCAAACCTGTTTCTCATCTAGCAGCAGTTTCCCTGTTCCCCTCTGGAAACAGGGCCAGGCTTCCTCCAGCCTCCTAGCTCCACCCCCTTCTCTTTTACCCCTACTCAGATGAATCTGGCACCTCTGTGTTTCTAGACCACACCATTTGTTTTTTTGTTGGTGTCCCGTGCCACCTGTCTGTGGTTGGCTCATGTATTTGATGACTTAGTTCCCATGTTGCCCTTGTTTGGGTATTTTAGGAATTATGGCCTTGGAGGAAGAAGTAAATTGCTGGGGCAGACTTTGAGATTTCAAAGCCTCACAGCATCACCACTTCCTAGTCTCTCTGTCTCTTTCCCCCCTCTCTCTCTATCTATCCCTCTTCTTCCCTCTCCCTCCCTCCCCTTTTTCCCTTCCCCCAACCCCCAGGTGTGTGTTTGTGTGATTGTAGTAAATGATAGGAGCCCTCAGCTTTCTGGTCCTGCTACCATGCCCCTTATTTGATGCCATACCTCCCTCAGTGGTGGACTTGTGTCTCTCTAGAACCATGTCTTTCTCCTAGAAATTGTCTTGGTTGTGGTGTTTTAGCACAGTAATGGAAAAGAAAGTGATATACGTGCTTTTATCCAATAAACATATTTTCTCCTGACCAAAATGCAGGAAAGAATTCATTTGCCATGTTGCTCAGGGGTAGTTGGCCTGACGGCGTTGTGGGACAGCCTTCACCGTAAACAGCCACAGCTGAATGACTACCATCTGCAAGATCAAACTGCCAGCCTCCATGATATAATTTATTTTTTTAAGCCAGAAATAATGTTTTCCCCTATAGCTAGTTGTTACAGGATATTTCATATTTGTACATAGAAAACTTAATTTTTAGCAAAATACAAAAGCTTAAATGGGATGTCAGATGCAGTTAGCTGTGTCCTGAAGAGATGCAGTTTGGCTGTGCCTCTGAAAGCCTCCAACAGATAAGAATGCTAAAGAAAGGAATGTTCCTACCTATTTTAAAGCAAGTTGTTTGGGAAAGGTCTTGTGGTCTTTGCTCTATGGTCTGAGTCAGCTGGGTGGCCTCGAGATTTCCCACCATAAAGGTGAAACGATTCAGCCCCTACAGACATGGCTTAGAGCCCCTACCCCTACCCCACCATGACAGTGACATGGTTCATCCTGCCGAGGATAGAGAGGATGAGCTAGAGACTTTTTTAGATAGCAAGTTCATCTTTGGGAGTTTTTGGCTTGGAATAACCCTCATGGAAGGAACTCATGTAAGAGATAGGGATGTTTCTCTCTGGGCTTGTACGAACAACAGAGAGGCAGCTGTGAGGACCCAGGTAAAATGATATTCTAGAAAAGAGAGCTAGGCTCCTGGCCTGTTTCCTGTTTTCTCCTTCTTTCAATGTCTATCCCATTTGCCTTTCTGAGTGAGGATTGATCATCTTACTCAGGATCCTCCTTCTAGCTCACCTTCTTTAGGTGTACAGATTTTAGTATGTTTATCCTATATTATATGTCTAGTATCCGCTTGTAAGTGAGTATGTACTGAGTGTGTCTTTCTGTTTCTGGGATGCCTCACTCAGGATGATCTTTTCTAGTTCCCACCATTTGCCTGCAAATTTCATTATTTCCTTGTTTTTAATTGCTGAGTAGTATTCCATTGTGTAAAAATACCACAATTTCTGTATCCATTCCTCTGTTGAGGGACATCTACATTGTTTCTAGGTTCTGGCTATTACAAATAAAGCCGCTACCAACATGGTTGAGCAAATGTCCTTGTGTACTTGAGCATATTTTGGATATATGCCTAGGGTGGTATAGCTGGATCTTGAGGACACGGTATTCCTAATTGTCTGAGAAAACACCAAATTGATTTCCAAAGTGGTTGTACAGTTTACATTCCCACCAGCAATGGAGGAGGGTTCCCCTTTCTCCACATCCTCTCCAGCATGTAGTGTCACTTGAGTTTTTTATCTTAGCCATTCTGATGGGTGTAAGGTGAAATCTCAGGGTTGTTTTGATTTGCATCTCCCTGATGACTAAGGACATTGAGCATTTCTTTAAATGTTTCTCTGCCAGGAGCCTACCACAGAGGGCCTCTGAAAGACTCTACCCAGCATTGTATAAAATCAGATAATGAGACTCATAAACAAACTTTGGGCAGAGTGCAGGGAATCTTAGGAAAGAAGGGGGAGACAGTGAGACCTGGAGGGGACAGGAGCTCCACAAAGATAGCAAATGAACCAAAATATCTGGGCCCAGGGGTCTTTTCTGAGACTAATACTCCAACCAAGGACCATTCATGGATATAACCTAGAACTCCTGCTCAGATGTAGCCCATGGCAGCTCAGTGTCCAAGTTTCTTCCCTAATAAGGGGAACAAGGACTGTCTCTGCCATGAACTCAGTGGCTAGCTCTTTGACTGCCTCCCCTGGATGGAGGAGCAGTGTTGCCAGGCTACAGAGGAGTTCAGATGAGACCGGATAAGCTAGGGTCAGATGGAAGGGGAGGAGGACCTCCCCTATCCGTGGACTTGGAGAGGGGCATAGGAGGAGATGACAGGTGGAGGATGGGTTTGGGAGGGGAGGAGGGAGTGGGCTACAGCTGGGATACAAAGTGAATAAACTCTAATTAATATAAAAATTAAAATTAAAAAAAAGAAAAGAGAGCTAAGGAGCACTCTTGGATTTGGAGGAGTTCAAGAGAAAGTTAGAATAGCTAGGTAAAAGGACACAGAGAGTTCTAAAGAGCTAGTAGTTGAGTTGTAGAATCAGGCTTGTAAACATATATTTTGTATATAGTTTAGAAAATAAAGTTACCTTACTGAGCAAGCAGGGTTTTTACCTTAGTTTATGCCTCCCATGTCATTATTAGTATAACTATTAGATAACTTAAAATGATAAATATTACATGTGGCTCCTTTATGTGCAGGAGAAGACATGCCAGCAAAAGTACATGGAGACAGACAACAGGTTCCCCCTGTTGCATCTGGAGTCTCAAGGAGAGGCAAAAGGCAAGCCAGCAAAGAAGAGAGACACTGGACAGAAAAATGCCAGGCAGTGAGCATGTGGCATGAGCATAAATGGGGTAAAAAAATCTCACAAGTTGCAAACATGTGGAAAACAGTGAGAGAACCTGAGAAGTCATTAGACTTGGTAAGTTACCTGGGAAGTCCTTAAGGAGAGAAGTGATAATATTAAAAAGAATAATCCACAGGATCAGAAATTCTATTAACACAGGGCTTTAGAACCCTATATAATGCTACCTTAGGTTTAAAAGTAGAAATAGAAAATGGAAAGATAAATGACTTAACTAAGATGAGCTTAATATTGATTGTGATTATTATCATTCTAGTGTTTTATTTATTTTTCTTAATAGACATAGTGTTTTTCTGTTTCTTTTTAAAGAAAAAATATTTGGGGCTGGAGAGATGGCTCAGTGGTTAAGCACACTATCTGCTCTTCCAAAAGTCCCAGGTACAATTCCCAGCACCCACATAGCAGCTCACAACTGTCTGTAATGCCAATTCCAAGGGATCTGACACCTTCACACTAATGCACATAAAGTAAAAATTAAATAAATTATTTTTAAAAAGGAAAAAGATTCTTTAGAGATATAGGAAAAAGAAAAATACAAAAAATGGATAGATAAGATACAAGCCTTAGAAGAAAACTTAGAGAGACATAAATAGAAATGAGAAAGATACTCAGAGACAGAGGAATTAAGGCCAAATCCTACTGTGCCATCATATAACAAAATTGAAGAAAGTCATGCAAAAGCAGTTAAAAAAAAACAACCTTAGCTTATCCTGTTACTCTATGACAAATACCAGCAGATGATAGGCACCCCCAAGGTTATGAAGAATTTGGATGGCATCCTGTGGAAATACTACATTTTTAAAAATTTAAAGAAGCCGTCATTCCATGTTAAATTCTTGGGTAATTCAAAATAAAGTAATCCCTCAAGACTGGAAAGATATGACAAAAGCAATATTAGACTCTGGTCTTCAGTTACAGTGGCAGTCATGGTAGAAAGACAAGCTAAGGAGATAGGACAGAAAAATAGGGCCAGAGGTATAAATGTTTCCTAAGATCGGTTGTTAGGTTGTTAGGTTAGGTTGAAGGTCAATATGATGAGGTTCAAATGCAGGTGGAATATGATGATACCAAACTTGGCACTTTAAGTGCTTGAGACAAGGTGAAAGAAACAGGAAAAGGGTCGAATTGTTTACTAAAATTACGCGAGAGCCAAAGGAAGCCTTCATTGACTTTTTAGAAAGATTGACTTGAACTGTAAAGAGAAACGTATCAGATTCAGAAGTGAGGCAAGTACTGAGAGAATATTTGGCTTCAGAAAAGGCTAAAAGGTGAACAGGCCTCTAAAAGGAACATCAGCACCAGAGATGAATGGATTAGAAATATGGCTGATATTGGATCTTGTGCTTGTGTCGCAACTTTCATAGAAGCACTCTCTAAAAGTTTTAAGAAAAGTCAAACTGTCAAATGTTTTGGATGTAGAAAGCAAGGTCATTTGCAAAGGGACTGTAGGCAA